TGCCCTCTTGTGGCAGGTTCTGTAATTGTTCCTCTAATATGGTGTCTCCTGCAGAGCCTCCACCGCTTTCACTCTTTCCCCAGTGTTTGCAGGAAGGAAGGAGGAGGGGCAGTGGAGGTGGGTCGGGCTGTACTCCTCCCCTCCCACTCTCATATGGTCAGGGAGATCTCCAGTGGGTACGTGTGGGATTGTCTCTTCCCCAGGTATGTACTCGTGGGAGGTGCCCCAGCCAGGCCTATCTTGGGATGGAGTTCTCCTATTGTAACTGATGTCGGCCGTGCCTTGGTTTGTCCCTCTCTTTTGTGGCCCAGCTGTATGGGTCTGATGTTCAGAGGATTGCTGGGGAGGAGAGGGTTTGGGTCAGCCCTGGACTCACCACTGATCTCTTTAGAGTTCTTCCTTGTCCTTTTCTGGCCACATCGTTTGTCCTGCAGCTCCATCAGGGTAGGGGATGGGGTGCCTGTGAGTCAGCACTTGTCAGGTCCCTCCGAAGTCTGTGCTTTCAGGATATTCCCTGATATTCCCTCTGAGTAGCTGATCCACCTCAGAGATCAGGTCTGTTGCTCTATGTTGAGCAAGTCAGAGCATTCTCCCTCCCCACCTTCAAGATGGTGGCGGGACGCCTCCCTTGTCCTCTTCAGTGGGACTCTGCCTCTTGGCACTCTCCACAGCCCCTGCTGCCAGTGCCCTGCCAGGTGCTGAAGTGGTAAGGCAAAGCCAGGAGTGGGCAGTCTCTCCTGCTGTAGTGGTGAGGCAGGCCTGGGATGGTAGTCTCTCCCCACTGCTTCTTCACAGGAAAACTTTTGTCTGTTTAAAAAAAAATGGCACTTGGCTTCTGCCACCTGGGAAGAGCCAGGGACCAAGTAGAGAAGCTGCAGCACCAGCTGTTGCACCAGAGCCCTGGCCGCTTGCTCATGAGACCCCACTCAGTCAGTCTCTCCCAGCATTTTCTTCCCAGGAAGGGTTTTGTTGATTAAAAAAAAATGGGGCTTGGCTTCTGTGTTCCATGAATCACTAGGGTCTAAGTGCAGCAGCTGTGGCCCCAGCCGCTGCACCAGGAGAGCCCCAGCCGCTAGCTCCCTAGCCCTCACTTGGTCAGCCACTCACATGCCCTCTCACTCACCAGCACTTACACAAAATTTTCCATACACTCATTCACTCCTACTGGGACTCACTTAGGCCTGCTGGCTTGTCCGCCATCTTCCCGACCTCCCCCTCCAAGCAAGGATTTTTAAAGGTAGGGGTCAATTTCAGGAAAGCACAAGTTACAGGCAAAATCTTTTTGTTGTTTTTTTTCATGTTTTATTTATTTATTTTTATTTTAAAGATGTGGGGCACAATTCAGTGTTAGGTACCTAAATAGTCATCGTACAGGTAAAGTTTGGGCCTCACTTTGGTAAACAATATCTGGAAGTTATACATTGGTTTGGCATAAAAAGGTGGGATATCTTGAAGGTAAAATTTTAATGACATATACATTGGGTCTTCCACCCCGTTTCCTGGCATACAACTCCTAAAATCCTTTGACTGTCCAAAGTGCTGTCTTTTTGCATACTAATGTTGATTGATAGCTTCAGGATGGGGCTGGTCACTAGAAAGACTAACTCAGGATTAGAGGGTTAGACCTGTATGCCCCACCCCCCTCAACCTCCAGGGAGAGGAGAAGGGCTGAAGGTCAAATTGATATCCAACAGCCAGTGATTTAATCAATCATGCCTACAAAATGAAGCCTCCATAAAAACCCAAGAGGAAGGGTTCACAGAACTTCCCGATAGCTGAACACATGGAAGTTCCTGAGGGTGGCTTGCCCAAAGAGGGCATAGAAGCACTGCACCCCCTTCCCCCCATACCTCGCCCTGTGTATCCTTTGTACTATCTCTGTATCCTTTATAATGAAGTGGTCAATGTAATTGTTTTCCTGAGTTCGATGAGCTGCTCCAGCAAATTAATCAAACTCAAGGAGAGAGTCGTGGGAACCCCAACCTGAAGCAGAGCAGAAGTTCTGGAGTCCTTGCACTTGTCCCTGGACTGGTATCTGAAGGGCAATCTTGGTGACTGAGCCCTCAACTGAGAGATCTGGTGCTGTCAGAATTGAATTCGAGGACGCCTAGCTGGTGTCTGCTGCTTGTTGATGGGGAACAAACCCTACACTTTGGTCACAGATGTCTTCTTCTGTGTTGATTATTGCTGTGATATGAGAACAGAGGAAAAACAGCATGAAAGTTTTTCTGAAATAGCTGGTTGCGAAGATTTTCTGATTTGCAATTGGTTAAGGAAGTGAAACTTTGTCTAAAAACTTGGGGCTAGAAAAAAGGAATGTTAAGTTCTGGGCTATGGGCATGACTCTCTCTAGGTCACTCAGAAAGAAATTTAGAGCAAAGAATGACAGTCAGAGTTCAGTCTTCAGTTTCCCCTTATCTGAGGTCAGTGTGCCAGCAGATAGCATTTTCTATTTGGTAGGGTCCGGGTTTCTGAAAAACAACTCAGGGACATATGTTAGTTTCTTTAGGGAACCAAACATCTTGTGGCTCTAACTTCTTTGGCTATTGTTTTCAGCTACTATTACCATTTTGCTCATCAGGTTGTCCATTTACTTCTCAAAGCTAGCTAGGTGCCTAGAATTTTCCTTGGGGGGAACTCAACATTTTCTTTATTTCCATGTTTGGAGGGCTCAGCAGGCCCCTAAGAGGGGTGCCTATCTTGTCTCCAGATCAAGAAAATGGGTTAGTCTGTTAGTGTATTTACTTTTTCCCCGTGATTAGGAATCTAAGGAGATAAATAAATCAGAATACAGAGATGATGTCTAAATAAGTTACCCAAGAGTAATCATAAAGATTCAGGTTGAAAAAACTGGTAGTGAAGTAACCTCCTATTTTATAACAATATGACTTCACATTTTATAACTTTTTATAATATTAAAGGACAAGACCACCACTCAGAAACAAAATTCACAGAGTTGAATTTATTGCCTTCTTAAGTAGATGAGTGTTGCTAGCCAAGCCCATTCTCTTTGAGCTGATCATATGTAAGGTTTTTGGGTGCTTGGAGTTCAGGGATTAGTGAACTTTCCAAGGCAGAAGAGGGTTGATGTTAGCAGTAGACATGTGGTTAAGGTGAGACTATTGCTGATACTTGGTGTGTAGAAGCATGTTCACTGGTACCAGGCAACTTTCAGAAGTGAGGAACCATCACTGAGTGATTGACTTACAGGAGTTCACAGTGGTAAACTTTGTCTTTTTACTGGAATATTTTTTAAAGCTTTTCATTTATTAATTTATGATATGGCATACAATCTAACTGTTCTACAGTTGTCAAAAATTACTGAAAATCAAAGTGTTGAAATTATTTCCCAAGCATTTGTTTGGGAAAATGTGTTACGAATTTTATTTGTTGCTGTAATATTGTACTATTATTAAGCAAAGTGTTTTACAAGGTAGCCACAGATTACATTGTAATTGGTTTTAATTACACTTTAATTCTGTTCATTGAAATTAGTTAACTTCTAGTTCACACAGAAAATAATAATTAACTGGCTTGACCAATGTTCCATATTAGAGTAGTGGAAGAAATTTTAAAATAGAGCTTTGTAAACAAAGCATGTTACCCAAATCTCATGTTAAATCATTGAAGCCTCTAAGGTAACATTGTCATTCTCAATTTGCAGAGGAAGAAATTGATTCCTTGTGAAGTGACTTGCTTAAGACTTAGGCAAGGGGGTTACAGAGCCGAGATTTTGGCTGGGGCTAAAGTTGTTAGGATTTCTATTAACTTGTATAATGGTACTTATTACATCTTATTCTGAATCATACGTTATCTTATTCAGAACCAAGTTTGGAAATTACCTTCCTCAACTGGTCTCGGTGGCTCAGCCTGTAATCCCGTGCTTTGGGAGGCTAAGGTGAGTGGATTGCCTGAGCCCGTGGGTTCAAGACCCACCTGGGCAACTTGGCATGACCTCATCTCTACAATAAATCAAAAAATTAGCCAGGTGTGGTAGCGCACACCTGTAGTTCCAGCTACTGGAAGGCTGAGGCGGAAGGATCACCGGAGCCCAGCAGGTCGAGGCTGCAGTGGCCAGGAGCGGGCACTGCACTCCAGTCTGGGCTACAGAGTGAGACTCCAACTCAAAAAAAAAAAAAAAGAAAGAAAAGAAAATTACCTTCCTCTAGAATGTTTTCTCTGATGAATCCTTCTTCTATGTTGATGTTTATATTCTAAAATCATTTTGTAAATATAAGGATAGAGTTCTGGCCAGGCTTGGCGGCTCAGCCCATAATCCCAGCCACTTTGGGAGGCTGAGGTGAGTGGATTGCCTAAGCTGTGGGTTCGAGACCAGCATGGGAAACTTGGCAAGACCTCGTCTCTACAATAAATTTAAAAAATTAGCCAAGCATGGTAGCGCATGCCTGTAGTTCCGGCTACTTGAAAGGCTGAGGCAGAAGGATCACTGGAGCCCAGCAGGTCGACACTGGGTGGCCATGAGCCTGCCACTGCACTCCAACCTGGGTGACAGGGTGAGACTCCAACTCAAAAAAAAAGAATAGAGTTCTAAGTTTGGGTGTCGTGACTCACACTTGCAATCCTAGCTCTTTGAGAGGTCAAAGCAGGAGGATCGCTTGAGTCCAGGAGTTCAAGATCAGCCTGGACAACACAATGAGACCTCATCTCTACAAAAAAATTAAAAATTAGCCAGGCATAGTGGTGTGCATCTGTAGTCCCAGCTACTCAGGAGGCAGGATTGCCTGAACCTAGGAAGTCAAGGCTACCATGAGCTGTGGTTATACCACTGCACTTCAGCCTGGGAACAGAGTGAGACTCCAGCTCAAAAAAAGTAAAACAAAAAGCCAAAAAACAAAGCAAAAATGAATAGAGTTCTAAACACAGGTTATGAGATTTATCAATAGACCCTTTAATCATCTTATTTATGTTTTGTTACTCTTTGGCTTGCATTTTGTTTGATTGATTGATTGGTTTTTTAATTCTGTATAATTATATTATAGTTCCACACCAGCATCTTGCAAATTTCAATCCCTTCATCAGTGTCAGCGTCTATGGATATGGAAACTTCTGAAAAATCAAAGTTGCCTCCTAAGCCAGAGACTTCATTTGAAGAGAAGTATGTCAGTTGTGACCTAACATTGCATTATAAATGTTCAAAATAGTAGATCAACCGGAGAAAACAGTGCATAGTGTTTATTTACAGACACAGTTTTTACTCAAAGCGAGAAATAGGAAGGAATCCACCAGGGGGCTATCAAAGGATTGGAAGCAGGATAGTCACAGTCATGTACCATGAGACAGTTTGGAGGGTAGATATAAAGGAGGCAGGAGAGGGATAAAGTGGTTTCTGTGTAAGAAAATAGAATTTTTTGCCAGCATATTCTCAAATTAATTGTCTGTTCTTACATTTAGTCCAAGTAAAATAAAATAGAGTATTTTTAAAAATAGAAATAGCTTCCTTTGCACAATTGTTATTTTTGACAATTCTGTACATTTAGAATATATATATGTTCTTTTAGTTGATGTTAATAAATACTTTTTTATTTGTTTGTTTTTACATTTTAGTGATGGAAAAATAATCCTTGGTGCTGCTGAAACCCAACTGTGTGATGATCTTTTGTAAGTCATATTTTATTTAATGTGTAGAAATGTGATTGAGGCTTGAGAAAGAAGAGAGATCTTTTTCTTGTGGCCTATAAAACTGGTGTATAATAAACTCTTAAGAGAATATTAAAAATAAAATAAGAGATTGCATCTGTTATACAATGACCAATATTAATAGTGCATGACAGAGGCTGTTAAATTATGAATGAATTAATGCAGCTGTAATGATTGGGTGGAGGTGGAGGTAGGGGTTGTAAGTTTACAAAAAGTATTTATTCATTTACTGTTATCTCATGCTGGGTTTTACAGGTCTTCAGCCTTTCTTCATCAGTTTTCACTTGAAGTTCAATGCTTTTAATTCATTTTTGTGCTGTCATATTTTGAACCCAGCAGAAAAGAATCATAGAGAATGATGTGATGGCTGGAAAAACTGAAATGAGCTTTTTTGCACTTTTAATTCTGTGAACTGACCTAATATCTATGTTTATCCAAGTTAAAGTCTGGATTAAATTAGGAAAGTCTATTTTCAGAGCCGTACCCAAAGATGAGATCTTCTCTTCCTACTATCGTTTACTTTATTTGGTAGTTGATACTTCTAGCAACTTATATATACATATACATAGGAAAATGCCTTTAAAAAGTTTATGTGTTTATATCATTCTTTTTTTTTTTTTTTTTTTTGAGTTGGAGTCTCTGTCGTCCGGGCGGGAGTGCAGTGGCACACTCACGGCCACCCCAACGTCGACCTACTGGGGTCCAGTGATCCTTCTAAGCCTCAGCCTTCCAAGTAGCCAGAACTACAGGCATGCGCTACCACACCTGGCTAATTTTTTAAATTTATTATAGAGATAAGGTCTTGCCAAGTTGCCTGTGCTGGTCTCAAACCTGTGGGCTCAGGCAATGCACTCACCTTGCCTCGACTGGGGTTACAGGCTGAGCCACCAAGCCCAGCCTATATATTATTCTTTTTCTTAGAGCAAACACATGATTTTTCTGTCTCTCCCTCTTTAAACTGGTCACATATTTCTATTTTCCTTCAATTTTTTTTTTTTTTTGAGTTGGAGCCTCACTCTGTCACCCAGACTGGAGTAGCTGCTCCCGGCCACCACAGCCTCGACCTACTGGGCTCCCGCTATCCTTCCGCCTCAGCCTTCCAAGTAGCTGGAACTACAGGCACACGCTACCACACCCGGCTCATTTTTTTTTTATTTATTGTAGAGATGAGGTCTCGCCAAGTTGCCCAGGAAGGTCTCGAACCCACGGGCTCAGACAATCCACTCTGCCTTCAATTTTTTAGTGACATCAGCTCTATATAATTGAGTGTTAATTATGTGCACGATAATGTCTCTGGATAGTTATAGTGTCATTTTGTCTTCACTAGGATAACAAATGAATTATTATGGGCAGCAATAGGGATTCCTCTACTATTCTTTGATCAGAACTATAAAATGAATTGTTTTGCCAGTACTCAGAAAAGTAATTCCCTTGTGAGTTGAAAAGTAAAACTCTCATTCTTTATTTTAATTAGAAGGATTAGATATAAATAGTACACGAATATTTTAAAAGTTCCTAGTATAAGTGTTCATATGCAAAGGACACACCATTAGCCCATGGAAAACACTGGTTTATTTTCAAATGTTGACATCACAAGGATCATCCTAAGTGTTTTTCCAGCTATTCTAACGTGTGCAGGACATTTAGAGTTATTGGCAGGATAGTTAACCACCCCTGCTCTTAAAAGAACTAAATGTTATAATTTAGTTAAGAACATAAGTGACTGCCTGATTCCAGATTTTCTTTTATTACCAAGATTCAACCCACACATAATTTTAGTTTCTTTCCAAGATGTTCTGCTTAGAAACAGTGGCACCAGAACCACTTATTATTAATCATTATTATTATTACTTTTAGAACCTCAAGTCAAAAGTCCAGCAGTCTGAGCAATCTAAAGAAAGAGACATCTGAAGAGGTGGGTTCTGTGTTTTTTGTGTGTGTCTGTTACTCTAAGAAGGAATATTTATACATCTTCAACTTTTTCCATTTTACAAATAAAATTCTTAAGAGCTTGTGGTTTCGCTGATGGAAAATTATTAGATATCAGGGTTAATGATAAATATTATAAAGTAAGAATATGAAGGATTTCAAGTGGTAGTATGTAAAACCAAAAAGAGAGACTTTAATAAAACATTTAGGAAATAAATAAAACTAGCACTTTTATAGTTTAGAAGTAGATATAAAAATTTTTTCTACTTATGGAATTGTATATAGCAAATTCTGAGTACATAAAAGATTTCTGTAACAACCTTAAATATTGTTGTCGTTTTGGACAGGAAAAGGAGTCTATTCAGAAGACTTCAGAGGTAATTTTTATGTCCAAATTACAACGTAAAAATGTTTTTTATTTCCATTGCATGTAAATTGCTTAAATGTTTCCAGTACTGTAGATCAGAGCTCAGAGCCTCCAAAACATTATGCTAAACAGAAGAAGCCAGACACAAAGGTTACATATTATGTGATTTTATTTATATGAAATACCCAAAATAGATAAATACATAGAGACAGAGTACAGATTGGTGGTTACCAGTGGTGGGAGGAGGAAAGAGTGGGAAGAAACTGTTTAATGGTAAGAGATTTTACTTTCTAATGATGGAAATGTTTTGGAATTAGGTAGAGATGGTGGTTGCACAACACTGTTGATGTACTAAATGCCACTGGATTGTTCACTTTAAAATAGTTAATTTTATGTGAATTTCACCTCGATAAGTTATTAAAAAACAAACCTGTTATCTCCTAATCATGCTATTTGATAACTGGGCTCCTTAGACCTCCCAGAAAGCTCCCTAGATTACTGGCAGTTTATTTTGTACAACTGTTCATCTAAAGCAAGCATCAGGTATTTTTAAGACGTCGTCAACAGGTGCACTGATTCTTTCCCCTGATTTTCCATCATTAACCTTGTAAAGGTTACAGTCCAATAGACAGGATGCAGTCTCTTGATCGTTAGCTATTAGTGACTGAGTCACATGTAGATAGAACTGACAAAGTAAACAGTGGTGACAGCTGCAATTAAAGTCCTTTTTGTCTTATCAGTTCATTCAGTGGTTACATGATCTTTGACATCAGGGTTGAGAAATGGATAATACTACTAAATTGTGTCATCTATATCAGTTACTGTGCGCAGTAGATTTTGAGTAAAACAACCTTAAACACCTATATCCTCTCACCCTTTTCTCCACTTCTGCAAGAAAAGAAACAGGGCAAGAGATATTAGAGAAATGAGAACAGACAAACAAAACCATCTTTGTATGATACTACAATAATATAACATACTATGTTACTATGATTGCCAATTCAAATAACCAACAAGCTCAAAATAAACAGTTGCTGATTTTGCCTTCGTTTTATTATTCTCTGAGAAGAACGTTTAAAATAACTGGAGTAGAATCTCTTTGTGCTGCTAGTAGAGAAACTTGGGACTAATGCTTGCTTTGTAGGATAATTGTATTGATGAACTATACCATAAGAATGTGAACTACATTATAGCCAAATCTATGTCATAGTTGTTAGAAAAGTAAGAAAGCTACTGCTGTTATTCTAGGTATATAATATCTCCATGTCTTTTAAGAAATGAGATCAAATTAAATTTGAGAATTTCTATATCCTAAAATTTTAAAGTACTAAACACATCGACTATAGATTAGTGATAAACATGTTTTTCTTAAGTAGATTTCAGAATTGATTTTTTTTCAACCTCTAATAAGGTATTTGGTATTGGCAATCATCAATGTGTTAGTTCAATTCTTTTAAAGAAACTCATGTATTTAGCATAACTGAATATGTAGTATTGAGCCTGTCATGCACTAATGATGCTGTACATTGATGCTCTTTCATTCTTTTTTCCCACCTGTCAGGATAAAACTCCAGCAGAAAGCAGCCCATTTGGGAGCCTCCCTCCCAAAGCTCCAGGACATAACGCCTCTGTGGATGACAATCCCTTTGGCACTCGAAAAGGCAGATCTTCCTTTGGCCGGGGCTTTTTTAAAATCAAAAGTAACAAGAGGACAGCAAGTGCGCCCAACTTGGGTATGTATGGCCAAAACGCCTTTGCCCTAATTCCTTCAGAAGAAGGAAAAGGGCCGTCTCTTCCCTTTACTTATTCCCTTATTCATTTCATTGCTCTTTCTCAGAAACAAAGGTGAATGACTTGGGGAGGGGGGCATTAGCAAAAAATGCTTTGGTGAATTTAATTTAGCAGTGTGAAGAGATATAGATTCTCACCCCAATCTCTCCTGTGGTATAAACTTTATGGAAAGACCCACAGTCATGATTCCTTTTGACTTCATTATAGTTTCCCGTCTGTTTTGATGGTGAATAAATTAACACTGACAGTTGTAACAGAGCCTGTATGTAACATCAGAAATACAGTGTGGTACATGCCTTTCCTCCACCATGTGTATTTCATGAGGAGGAGTCTGATCTGTTTCATTTTGTCATCCCCCTGTGCTCTCTCCATTGGGCTGCGTGTGATTGTGTGCGTTGTTGGGATTTCTGAAGATCGTAAACGAAGTGCCAGTGCACCCACCCTAGGTATCGTACCCCTGCATGCCAGCCTTCGCCAGCACTGTGCTCCCAACTGAGCTAATTCCCACTCTTGGCATCTGTGATCTCTAGAAAGCTAGAAAGCAAGCTGGCAGCAACCAGAAAATGTAGTTCTTAATTCCAGAATGTTCCTTCCACTTTCTGGTAGAAAGGACTCTGTAGAGGCTTTGCTTCCAAGTCTAAACGCTGTTTTAACCAATGCTAATGACACCTTGTGAGTAGCTCTGAGAGGATCTAGAAGTGCACAGCATTCCTCAGAGTGCAAGGTAGGAATGTTCTGCCAGGGTACATTCCAGCTCTTTCTTGATGTCATGTCGTCACACACTAACTCTCAAGTCCTTGCAGTCCCTTCTCCATGCTCACATTTTTCCTACCTTCCAAAAATAAGTATTTTAGGGAGGTTTGTAAAAGACATTGAAGATGATAGTCTTAGATGTACTTCTCTTAGAAGAATATTCTTCTGACATTTTATTACTTTGAAGATGGAAGTAGTATTTAGTGATGATGGAAGTAACTTTACATGTTATCTGAGGAGTCACCTCCAAAGTGATTTTGGCAGAGTGACAGCCCAGTTTTTCTCTTTGTAGGGCAGGGGACAGCCAGAAAAAAACAGTTCTCCAAATAAAAAAAGAGAAATATGATGTCTTTTAAGTGAGAATGAGCTAGGCCGCATTTTCAGAAGCACCTGTATCCATCTTGGTTATAGGGTTTGAACTGGAAAAGTTCCATTGAGTTTTTCTTGTAGGTACTGTTTCCTTATATACATATCCACATATCTATTCATGTGGAATAGCAAAAGTGACTTCTTTCTTTTTGTAGCCTTCAACGTCTAGAATGAACACAGGATGCATACAATCAACTGATCTATTCAGACAACTCTTGTCAGACTTTTTCCCCATCTTTCTTAGAAGAACTGAATTGTTAATGCTAAGAGGCAAATGCTGCTTACTATAACCTGTAATCACAGCTCTGCTTTATAGAGAAATCAACTTCTGCAACTTGTTTATCTTGCTGAAACATTGTTCCTATGATATTTGTACAACTTTTACTTTCCTTTTTAAAGTATAAAATCTCACATTGAAGAAAACAATAGCCCATGTGTTTGCTAGTGTGGAATCATCTACCAAGGGATAGCTAAAAGAACCAAAATAGTTCATGTGTGACGACCTGGGGATGGGAAATGTGGATGTTATTCTTTTAAGATAAAATCAACAGGCACTCACTTTATATTAAAAGAAAACCTTATCATGTTCTGTTCATTCATTGTTCTCAGTGCCTAGAACATGGCAGGTTGGAATACATCCCTTCAATAAAAAATTGCTTGAACTCAATAACTGATTTGGTGTAAATACCAAAGGAGATGAAGGAATAAAAAGAAAATGACATAAAGTTTGAACTAAAGTCACAAGGAGAATATTCATTAATATTAATTAGATGTCAATAAGAACATCTGAGAGAGAAAAAGACTCTCAGAGAAATCAGAGGGGTTTGTGGAGTCCGAGATATCCTTGATACACTGAATTGGGAATATACACAGATATTCAGATACCGATGCTAGAGAGAGAGACTAGACTCAGAGATTTTGATCCTACAGAGGGAACTTGGAACAGAATCTTGGTGAGGAATGGAGGAGAAAAAGAACTGATGCCACAGCAAAGGAGAAGCTATCAGATGACAGACTCAGGAGAGTGAAATGACAAAGAAGCAAGAGGAGATGATGTTAAAGAGTGTGAGAGGTAGTCAGCAGTAACAGGTGCTGCTTGAGGACTGAGAATCCTTTCATGATGAACTCATATCACACAGGGAAAGAACTTAGCAATCGTAGCACACTCTTCCAATCTCCAAAGGAGTTGCACTTCTAAGTGTATTTACTTGGTGTACAATAAACTGTAGAGTAGCATCTACGTTTATGTTCCATTTTTAATATTTATAAGGTGATCTTTGTAAATCACTGATTTGTAGACCAAAAGAAGAGTTCTTAACAGTTGCTAAAAGCAAGATTAACATCTAATCATGCTCATTCCATATTCATCTAGTTCTTTATTCTGTTCTTACACTAGCTGAAACAGAAAAGGAGACAGCAGAGCACCTGGATCTGGCTGGTGCATCTTCTCGGCCAAAAGATTCACAGGGAAACAGTCCCTTCCAGATTTCTCCGCCATCTCCAGATTCTAAAAAGAAATCCAGAGGTATCATGAAACTCTTTGGAAAGTAAGTAAAAGCATGAACAAGTGCAGTGATCCTTGTCTAACAGTGTTGCTCAAATGTAGGGATGAATGGAAAACTGTCTGAAAATTGATATTGATTTAAAAGCCTTCCTCTTCTGGAAGGAAGATTGTGATTTGGGATTAATGAACTCACTGGGTCTAAGTTAAAGTTTAAATTAAAATGTGTATGTTAGCAACATACAAGGGAGATTATCTCAAATGTATGCACTAGTTAAAAATGTTCTAATTAACAAGTCTAAGGCCTCCTCAGGTCTAAGGCATGGCAATGTGTATCATGTCTTCCTCAGACTTAGAAGAAGTCAGTCAACTACATTCAACCCAGATGATATGTCTGAGCCTGAATTCAAAAGAGGAGGGACAAGGGCAACTGCAGGGCCCCGACTGGGTTGGTCTCGAGATTTTGGACAGTCTAACAGGTAAGAACGGCCACACCAATGGACTTTTGCATCTCTACCAAGCATCAAGGCCCCACGAGCACCTGCAGTGTGAGTACTGTCATTGGGTTAAACAAAGTCATTGCATACTGCTACGCCTAGTGGATGGGTCCTTCATCTTTAGAATGATATGACTTGCCAAGAGTTGATGAACAACATACAGAAGGAGAGAGCTATGTGAGCCAGGTGAGGATCCAGATCCAGTGGCATTTGTATTATTAATGGAATGGTTCTTGGACTTAAACTTTACATAGATAGTGATAAGTACTCTAAGGCATAGCCTTGGAAAGATGGGATAGCATAATGTTTAAGAGTAGGTTCTAGAATCGTACCGCTGGACTCAGTTTCTAGCCTTACCACTTTCTACTGACTTAATGACCTCAAGCAATGACTTCTATTCTCTGTGCCTCAGTTTTTTGTCATAATAATTAGTACTTACCCCAAAACATGATTGTGAAGATTAAATGAGTTAATATGTGTCAAGTATCTGGCAAATGATAACTGCTCAAAAAACGTTAGTAGTTAACAGCATCTATGAAAGCACTTAAAGACACTTAAATTCTGTCAGCACTCTTAGATTTTATCAAGATTATGTCGTGTTTTATCTCTTCTGAAGAAGAGACCAATCATGGGGACTGCTTGGACTGTAAGAACTTCGCCTGCACTCTTATCAAAGTTTAGGGCTGGTGTGAAACTACTATACTGAATTACTGAGTGTAAAAGGGCGGATATGGCATACATAAAGTTCAAGGTATTGATACCAAATCTTTTAAAGTGTAGTAGACTGGAAACCTTCTAAACACAGTCCCTCCCACACAGGTGGAACACTGGAGTCGAGTTTCATCAAGGAAGAAATTATCTTTGGCCTTCTTCAAATACCAAACCGTCCTGTTTGCCATATGTTCTTTTTGATCACAACATAGAGGACCTCCTAGTGTTATTAAAAAAATAAAAATAAAAAAGTCCTGTTCATCCTCACATTTTTTTTTGCAGGGGGAACAGGAATACTATTTGTATGTCTAGGTAAAAGAAGACAGTAATTTTGCTCTGATTACTCTTTCGTATACTCAGTGATGGCATATTGCCTCTTCTCATTCATTACCATCTGGAGAGAAACCATAATTCTGCTAAAGTCAATTCAAGTTAGACTTGAGTTTCTTTCAGTCTGGCTGAGTTTCCTGTTTGGGAACCCAAACTTCAAACAACATTGATTGAAACTGGTACACTAACTTCTGTTGGTTCATCTTGGTCTTTTTCTGTAGAACATGTTCTTGCTCTATCATATAAATCTTGTGTGACTTCATTTGAAGTGAAGACAGTGGTCTTCGAAGGTAACTTTCAATTCCAGTACTACTTCCTCCTCCAGTGTGTACTAAAAATTAAGCTTTTCTTGGTCAAATGTGTATCACCAAGGAGTTCTCATATCGACTGAATGAATAGTTGTTCAAAACTGGTGATAAGCCACAGGATTGGCTTTGGATTGTTTTTCATGTGATTAATCATCCTCTCATAGTGACTTGGATATGCCATTTGCCAAGTGGACCAAGGAGCAGGTTTGCAGTTGGCTCGTGGAACAGGGCTTGGGTTCCTACCTGAATTCTGGCAAGCACTGGATTGCATCTGGCCAAACACTACTGCAGGCTTCTCAACAAGATCTAGAAAAGGTGACTGCTTCTCTATTTTGTTTATAAAATGGATACTGAGAGAAAGGGAATATGATGTAGGATTGTTTTATAGTCTAGAAAGGGATATGGGTGAAGCCAGTAAGTACTCTTGGAAAAGTTTTTCAACCGCTTTGTGCTTAGTTTATCTCATGGACTTAAAAGGAAGGACTTGGTCTTAATGATTCTTTATGAAACACTTAAGCCACTGGGCATTTTAGTGAAAAATATATAGCCATAATCATAAACCTTAAGCTTGACCGGGCACGGTGGCTCAAGCCTGTATTCCCAGCACTTTGGAAGGCCAAGGCGAGAGGATTGCCTCAGCCCACGGGTTCAAGAACACCCTAGGCAACATGGTAAGACTTCGTCTCTACAATAAATCAAAAATTAGCTGGGCATGGTAGTGTATACCTGTAGTTCCAGCTCCTTGGAAGGCTGAGGTGGAAGAATCGCCAGAGCCCAGCAGGTTGACACTGGGGTGGCCATGAGCATGCCACTGCGCTCTAACCTGCACGACAGACTGAGACTCCAATTCAGGAAAAAAAAAAAAAAACCCTTAAGCTCAAATGTCTCAAAATCATTTTGAGGCTTTATCATTGGCCTGTCTTCTCAATGTAATATATGCAGTTCCATTTCACTTTGCAAAAGAAGAAAAAAGTACCCTGCATTTTATGTCCAATCATTCAACATTTCTTCCCTGTGATTTAACTTTTTGCACAAAATAAGAGTACAATTCCTATAATACATGCTACAGTCCTTATCTTATAAAGAAAATGAGTCACTAGGGAATGCCTAACACCTCCCTAAACTAATTATGGTCATCTCAGCTTTCCAGGGGCCTTTTGTTCAACAATATTTTACTAATCCAAGTTAGTATTCGAATTTGTTGTAGAATTATATCTTTAATGCTAACTTCATTTTGGAGGAATTTGCATTTTTGCCAGTGGCATCAGCCTACATAGATAGAATTGGAAAGTCATTGTTTCTGTTTGTTTCAGGAACTTGGAATCAAGCATTCACTTCACAGAAAGAAACTCCAGCTGGCACTGCAAGCCCTAGGATCCGAAGAAGAGACCAATCATGGGAAACTGGATTTCAGCTGGGTCACTAGTAAGAGGTTTCATTCTTAAAAACATAAAATAAAATCATATACACACACACACACACACACACATATATATCTGCTTTTGCTTTTACTTTTTTTCAAAGTGAGTCAGGATCTCAGGTCAGCCAGGTCAGCCTGGAATACAGAGGCATAATTGTGGCTCACCACAGCGTCAGTTTCCTGTGCTCAGACAACACTCCTGCCTCGGCCTCCTGAATAGCTGGGCTACAGGCGTGTGCCACCATGCCGGGCTGGTTTTTTAATTTTTTTGTAGAGATGAGGTCTCTCTATGTTGCCTAGATGGCTGGTCTTGAACTCCTGTGCTCAAGCAGTCCTGCCTTGGCCTCCCAAAGTGCTGAGATTATAGGCATGAGCTACCATGCCCAGTCTGCTTTGCTTTTTAATCACAAAAACAGATGACACAGTGATGATGCTGGTTTTTCTCTCTTAGGATGGTTGGATGATATTGGTCTCCCCCAGTATAAGACCCAGTTTGATGAAGGACGGGTAGATGGTCGGATGCTACATTATATGACTATTGTAAGTGATTCACTCCTGGGATTTGGGGGAGTAAAACTTTTCTCTGAAAAACACAGAAATGGAGTGAGAATTGAAATTTTGCTTATACACTGTTTTCACAATGATTCCACCAGTGTTTGAAAGTGTTGCTTTAATTTGAGGAAAGGGGGCAGGAATATTTCCTATAGACATGAAGTTGTAGCATTTGGTAATTGCAACAACCTTGGGATAATTTGAAACCCCAGTTTAAATGGAGACCAATTTAAACTAAGCTCTCCAGAAAGTTGATTTTATGTGTCTTCAACAATGTAAATATTGAAGTGTACACTTTGAATGTGTGCATTTTATGCTATGTGAGTTATATCTCATAAAGCAGAGGTCCCTAACCCCCAGGCCACAGACCAGTACTGGTTTTTGGCCAGTTAGGAACCAAGCCACACAGCAGAAGGTGAGCAATGGGTGAGTGAGCAAAGCTTCATCTGTATTTATAAGTGTTCCCCATTGCTTGCGTTACCAACTGAGCTCTGCCTTCTGTCATATCAGCAGTGGCATTAGATTCTCATAGCGGCTTGAACCCTATTGTGAACTGCACATGTAAGGCATCTAGGTTGCACGCTCCTTATGAGAATCGAATGCATTATGATCTGAGGTGGAACTGAGGTGGTAATGCTAGTGCTGGGGAGTGGCTGCAAATACAGATTAACATTAGCAGTGAGGTTTGACTGCACAGAGATCATAATAAATCAGTTGCTTACAGACTCATATTAAACCCTATCAGTGAGTGGCAAGTGAGTTGATGTACTTCAATTGTACAGCTGCATCTGGTGGCAGGCTTTAAGTCAGAACCCAACACTTATTTTAGTCCATGCATGACCTGCCCATTATTTTATTTACCACTTCCATCCACTCCTCTTTTTTTATGAGTTGTATAATTATTTCATTATACATTACAATGTAACAATAATAGAAGGAAAGTACATAATAAATGTTATGTCCCCAAACCACCCCCCTCTCACCATCCGTGGAAAACAATCCCTGATGCCAAAAAGCCTTGGGGACCACTGTCATAAAGATATTTTAAAATTGAATCTAGACTTTTGAAGCCCTGGCTATCTCTAAGTTATGTGTTCCTCTGTGCAGTGACCATTCAGAAGAGGCTACCCTTTGAGCCTGCTGTCCACAGGGACTTGTCTTCTCCCTTCCCTTTCACTTTGGACAACTTTTACCTGAAACCCTCTCATCCTTCTCACATCAGCCAAGATCTGCTAGGACAGAATTTACTGAGGGTAGAGGAAGAGGGAGGAAGGCTAGACTTTCACTATGATCCCTTCATTATTATATATTTCTAGCATTTTAAACCTTCCAGCCAACGACTAGAAGGACTGTCCCCAACTTTACATCAGTAAGAGAGATAGATTCCAAGGGGACTTTGTTTTAGATTCTATAGTACTATTCATGTTCTCCCTAAGATATTTTTATTTAAATAACCTGTATGAACTAGACTTTGGGCCAACTACCAGAAGTATCTTTTTAAAATTAGTGCAGTGTTTTAAACAGCCAACTTAAGACAGAATTTCTCAATATCAAAGAAATGTGGAGTTCAGCTCATGGAATTTGTTTTTGTCTCTGTCACTGAATCCAAGTCCTTACCTTGGTGAGCACATGGTATAAACTTGCATGTAATGATACTAATCTATATAGTATGTTGTACATTTATTGTTTTCCAGGAGCATTTTACACATATTAATACTCAATTTTCAACAACCCTTTGAGTTAATACTATTATTACCCCCACCCTTCTTCAGATGTGTAAACAAAGACATTGAGAGATTGGGTAAATTGGCAACCAAGTTTTCACAGTTAAAAAAGTGATAGAAAATCATAGAGCATTTGAACTCTGACTGTTTCCAGATCCCTCCTCTTAATAGCTCACTATTCTGCCTGGAACAAATTCAGTAAATATTTGCCTACCTATCTAAGTGTTAGTATGAGACTGGGAATGTGAGCAGATTCAGGCTTAAAGTCACAAGAAGCATATATATAACTTTCGTGGCTGTAAAAGAGCAAATTACCTTGGAAAATTTGACCTCAGAAGTGCCAACTCACAAAAAGTCGGGTTTAATGTGGTATCCTGGATTGGATCCTGAAACAGAAAAAGGTCCTAAATGGAAAAACGGTGAAATTTGAATAAAGTCTACAGTTGAGTTGATTGTATTATTGTCTACATTAATTTCTTAGTTTTGATGAATATACCATGACTAGGTGAAAAGTATACAGAATTCTGTACTATCCTTGGCAACCCTTCCATAAAGCTAGAATTACTTAAAAACAAAATGTTGTAAACATCCAAAAATGAAACAGCAAAAAAAAAAAAAAGTCTGTTTTGATTTAAAAGAAAACAGTCTCTCCTTTTTAAAATTTTTTTGAAAGCAGGATTTATTGAGAGGATAGAAAAGCTCCCACAGTGGGAGGGGACTCGAAGGGGTTGCCCAGTTTCTCCTTTTAATAGCCTTCAAAGTATAAAGAATTTCAAAAGTAATCAGCATTTTAGTTATATTGTAAACATTATGCATTTAGATTTTTTTAAATCTGATAGATTTTTGTTGGACAAAAATAGCCTCCATTGAAATGTTTGGATTGGGTGTCTCCATCGTAGATTAAAATATATTAAATACTTTTTCTAACTTATAGGACACTACTTTAAATAAATTAATCCAGAAAAAATTCAGGAAATAATTGTTGCTCAGTTAGTAGCCTCAAGGATTTAAACTGATTATCTAATATTTTTATTTAAAATATTTCTATGGTAGATTTTCTAATATTTTTATTTAAAATAGTTCTGTGGTAGATCTACATTTTTCATAGGAAATGTTTTATCAATAAGGTGTGTCTAAAATGGATGTTTTCCTTGTTTATTTTCTGGGTGTGTTTGAAAGTAGTTTGGTGCTTATCTTGACACTACCCCCGAAATCACTTCTGAAATAATTTGTATTGGTGTGTTTGGTATATTTTTAAATGTTCTCAGTGGCCACTCATGAAAGTTTTTCCTTGAAGGGTTTGATTGGTGATACATGTGATTTCTTCTAACTTCATTTTTCTTCTCTCTTTCTCACCAAAACCTTTGCACTGACTGATTGACATCACTTTTCCAAAATTGTTCACAATGCCTGCTAGATTTTTTTTTAAAAAGCATATTAATCTAGAACTAGAGCATTCTTAAGGTCAGGAAATAGTATAATAAGAGCAGTCTTCTAATTCTCCCCAAAACTATGATGTTCTTTAGTTCAGAAAAACAGTTCCTGATCACTAATGAGCATCACTTGTTCTTAGCTTTCTGCTGAAGGGAAAAAGAGGCAGCTTAGCCAGTGCTCAAGTGTCTGCAGATAAAGTTTCAAAACTAAGGAGGAAACAAAGAAATTATTTTGTTTGCAGTATCAAATCAAAGTCCATCACCTTTTGTAGTGACCCAGTGAGTGCTTTTCAAACTGTGTTTTTAAGAGCCCTGGGCTTCCTCAGTCTTACCTAAGAACATCTGGAAGAGAGAGAAACAGGTGGAAGTCAGATTCATTGGGAACAATATTCATTTGGGGTTGGGAGAGGATTTTATTCTGAACAGGAAAAAGAGTGCTGTTATTAGATAACAGCTTGGAAAACACTGACAAGCCTTTGGGGCTTTTTGGTTTGAGGGGCTCTTCTACTGTGACTCATTTTCTTAGATCCTCTGAGAAGATCCTACTGCTCTGGGCCAGCACAGTGAGCTCCTCCTTTTGTTGTTTTCTGCAGGATGACTTACTCACTTTGAAGGTTGTGAGTGTGCTCCATCATCTCAGTATCAAAAGGGCCATCCAGGTCCTAAGGATCAATAACTTTGAACCAAACTGTCTACGGAGGCGGCCATCTGATGAGGTAGTGTTTTAATTTTCATTCATGTGACTGTCCACGTGTGCAAAACGAAGACCCATTTCTTCTTGGAGCTCACAGGAGAAGCTGGTCTCCTCGGTCCATCCTCTTACTTCATAGGCTTTGTTTTCCTGGATTCCTTCCTCTTCCCTGTGATGGTCCCACTTATGTAACTAAAGCCAAGGGTTGCTTTTCAGTTATGCTTCCTTCTTTTCTTAGGTGCATTTTTTTCCCTGACTCCTTAATCCACAGAAATAAGTACCACTATAAAGACTATGTTTCCTAAAGCAATGCTGTATTAGTGCGTAAGAAAGCTTGGAACCCTGTGACATAAATTCTTTTTTAAATTAAGAGACAGGATCTTTTTCTGTCACCCAGGCTGGGGTGCACTGGCACAATCATAGCTCACTGTAGCCTTGAACTGCTAGGCTCAAGTAATCCTCCCACCTCAGCCTCCCAAGTAGCTGGGATGACAGACACATGCCATCACACCCACCTAATTTTTTAATTTTTTGTAGAAATGGGGTTTTGCTATGCCCAGGCTGGCCTCGAACTCCTGGCCTTAAGTGATCCTCCTGCTGTGGTGTTCCAAAGCGCCAGGTTAAAGATTTGAGCCACCACACCTGGCCAAATTCTTTAAAAGAAAATTCCAATTAGCAAACACTTTTCCCCCTTTCTTTTCTTTTTTTTTTTTTTCTTTTGAGTTGGAGTCTCACTCTGTCCACCAGGTTGAAGTGCAGTGGCGTGCTCACAGCCATTGCAGCCTCGACCTCCTGGGCTCAGGTGATCCTTCCACCTTAGCCTTCCAAATAGCTGGAACCACAGGCGTGTGCCACAATACCTGACTGATCTTTTTTTATTTATTGTAGAGAAGAGTTCTCGCCATGTTGCTCAGGCTGGTCTCAAACCCCTGAGCTCAGATAATTCTCTCACCTCCACTTCCCAAAGTGCTGGGATTACAGGCATGAGCCACTACACCCGGCTTCCTCCTTTCTTTAAGCATTTAGTGAGATGCTGCATAACTGTGTTCCATGGTTCTATCTAAAATCGGCAGACATTTTAGACAGAACATGCAGTTTATTATTTCTGAGCCTGTAGTGAATAACTGAAGCTCTTGGTTGTTGTCCATTCCCATAGAATAACATCGCCCCATCTGAGGTTCAGAAGTGGACCAACCATCGAGTGATGGAGTGGCTGCGCTCCGTGGACTTAGCGGAATATGCCCCCAATCTCAGAGGCAGTGGTGTCCATGGTGGGCTCATGGTAAAACTCTGTTTCAATTTAAAATGCACTTACTTTGTTTCCCTTAGTTTAAGAGTAGGATATTATCAGTTTGCTTGTCATAATCCTAAAGCCATCTAACCCAATCCACCTACCCTATTTGTAGTGAATCTTTACTTTCAGAGGATTCTTATTTACATCATATAACTCTAAATTGGATTTAAACCCATTTTTCTTATATTATTCTCTTTCATGTTGAATAACTCCTAGCTGCTGTCTCTCATATGATCATGTTTTAAAACCTCTGCAAAGATACAGATTGTATTTCTGCACAATGATGGTGCATAAGGAATTGACTCCCAAAGGCAGCACCCCACAGAGGCAGAGAGCACTGATGTTGTGTGGTGCCCAAAGACTGGATTTCAGGACCAGCTCTTCCACTCTCTAACTTGGGCAAAATGAAGAAAAAATATGTAAATAAAAGATCAAAGTCCATACCCTGTCTACGTCACTGGGGTGTTGAGAGGGTCAATGGAGATAACTTAAATGAAAGAGCTGTGCTCATTATGTGCACAATATGTGTATGTACACATACACAATATGTGTATGATCTGTGGCGCCTTTTAACAAGTTGAATTTTTTTGTACAGGTTCTAGAACCTCGTTTTAATGTAGAAACAATGGCTCAGTTATTAAACATCCCACCAAATAAGACTTTGTTGCGAAGACATTTGGCCACTCATTTCAACCTTCTGATTGGTGCAGAGGCCCAGCACCAGAAGCGAGATGCCATGGAGTTGCCTGATTATGTACTTCTAACTGCTACTGCCAAAGTGAAGGTTGGTACAAGCTCATACTGTTTAGTGACTGCTTGACACAAAGGCGCAGTTTTGCATGTTGCATTGTTACTCTGTTTTTTGAAGTTTACTAAAGTTTTGTGAATGAGTTGAAAGGGACAGTTGACCCTTGAACAACATGGGTTTGAATTGCATGGATCTACTTCTGTGTGGATTTTTCTCAACCAAATGTGAAGGGATGCAAAATCTGCATATATGCAGGCTAGATTTTCATATATACTGATATTGCAGGACTTGAGTATGTGAAAATTTTGGTATCAAATTTTGGGATCTTGGAACCAATCCCATGGGTGTACTAAGGAATGACTGTGTGTGCTTATACATGTGTTGTATGTATCTTGTTAAGAGTAATTAAGAGAATGTGTTTTTGAAGGTTTCTGCTCAAGTCATTTATTTTATTAGACTTAACAATAATAAAGAGTATGATGGACCAGGTTTGGTGGCTCAGCCTATAATCCCAGTACTTTGGGAGGCCGAGGCAAGTGGATTGCCTGAGCTCGCAGGTTTGAGACCAGCCCGGGCAACTTGGCGAGAACTTGTCTCTACAATAAATAAAAAATCAGCCGGGTGTGGTAGGGTGCACCTGTAGTTCCAGCCACTTGAAAGGCTGAGGTGGAAGAATCACTGGAGCCTAGCAGGTCGATGGCAGGGGTGGCCATGAGACTGGGCAATGGAGTGAGACTCCAACTCACACACACAAAAAAAGTATGATGTTGGCTTCTATAATCGATGCATTGCAAATGCAGAAAGCCCATGAGTTTGGTTCAAATATTGATTGCGAGTCCAAGTGTGGTTGCTTATGCCTATAATCTCAGCATTTGGGGAGCTGAGGTAAGAAGATCACTTAAGGCCAGAAATTGGAGACCAGCTTGGCCAACACAGCAAAGAGTCCATCTCTACAAAAAATAAAAAATTAGCCCAGCATGGTGGTGCGTACTTGTATTCCCAGCTATTCAGGAGGCTGAGGCTAGAGGATCACTTGAGCCCCTGAGTTCGAGACTGCAGTGGCTGTAATCACACTACTGTACTCCAACCTGGATAACTGAGTCTCTAAAAAAACAAACAAAAATATTGGTTGCAATTGTCCTGTTTTACAAACCAGTATAAAAAGGAGATTTTTACCTTGTACAGATTCAACTTACCTGGTTTACTATTGACCAGCCTCATTAGTTGGGAAAAGATACTTAAGCAATGATTCAAGGTAGACCAGAGAAGAATGGATATTTCCTTTTTTACCTGGATTAGTGGATCATATCAAATTCAGATTACTTTTTCTTCTTTTAAATTTTTCCTACATTAACTCTTCTGAATATGTTATTTCAACAAATTTGACATGGATATAGGATTTATTGGCTTTTCCAGAAATATGCCAAGTTTTTTTTTCTACCCCCTCTATCTGCTTAAGTACTTTATCTTTAGATCCCTGTATCCTTTAAAAGATGTGCCAGATCTAAAACCTCAGAGACTCTGTTCTATTTAAATTCTCAGTCATTAGCCTGACAATTGCTTCCTTAACATATACTCTCAGGATCTCTCCAGTGCTCAAAATGGAGTTTCTCTTCTAAGTATCACTGAGAGCTTTCTCTCCGAAAGAGGGAGGATTGTTTTAGCAGTCGTCAGTCCTGTTATAGAAGCAGAACAGGAACACAAGATAATCCTAGTCTCACCCAAAGAGAAAATATAGTAAAGACCATTTTATTTTGTTGGTCTTAGATTGGAAAACCTTGCAAAACTGAATTTATTCTTAAGAAATCTCATTGCATTAATTCCTGTCCAGTCAAAACAATGAAGCTGGACACTGGTGTGTGCTTGTAATCCCAGCTACTTAGAAGGCTAAGGCAGAAGGATCATTTGAACCCAGGAGTTTGAGATCAGCCTGGGCAATATAGTGAGATTCCATCTCTAAAATAATAATAATGATGATGATGATAATAATAATGTAATAAGACTGTGATACTTGGCATATTTTGCTTATCACAGTGACTGACCAATCCAGCTCGTTGATGTGAATAAAATTAATCTGTGATTCTTAACAAGGATCATTTGTTATTTGGATACATCATTTATATGCCTAGGATCCCTTAGGTGTGTTTGTTATACAAGTTTAATTATCCAGTTGCCTTTCTCTATAGAATGGGTGAATAATTAAATTACACATGTAAAGAAGGGGAAGATGCAAAAAAAAAAAAAAAAAGTTATCAGTCCTTGGTCATATTCATTTATAAAATCCCTGGATGTTTTGTTTACTTTTCTTTTAAAGCCAAAGAAACTTACCTTCAGCAATTTTGGAAATCTGAGAAAGAAGAAACAGGAAGATGGTGAAGAATATGTTTGTCCAATGGAATTGGGACAGGCATCAGGAAGTACATCTAAAAAAGGATTTAAACCAGGTTTGGACATGCGCCTATATGATGAAGATGATCTGGACCGGTTAGAGCAGGTAAATGCAACACTATATAATATACCTTTCTAAAAATGCTTCCAGCATTCAAACACTGCACAGAATCTTTGTACATTATGTCTACTAATTCAGGATATTTTCAAGTATCTAAAAGGTAATGAAATACGAGTGAACACTTATGTCATTTACCGTACTCCATCCTAAGCACTTAACATATATTATGCTCATAGTTAAAATATAGGGAATATCGTTATCCTTGTTTTAGAGACAAGGAAACTGAGGCACGGAGAGTTGGTATAACTCACCCAAGGTCTCTAACCTGTCAGACTGACTCCAAGCCTGTGATATTTACATATGTTATACCGGCTCTGTATTAACACAAAGGAAATCTGTATATTAAAACAAGTTAGGAATGGACAGGTCATTCTACCTAGCCTTTTCAGAGTAAAGTCATGGGACCACATATTGTCCTCTAATCAACAATTCTTTGGTACTATTGCCTAAAAATATCTTCCTGTTTAGATGTGTCACTAAGGTATTTCTTCTACGTTTTCACTTCTGATTGCAGTAATGAGAGAGCTCATCAAAAGTGTTCTGTTGCTCCTACACCATTCAGTACCATTTGCATTATTTCTTCTTAGGTCTTTTGCTCATTTTGCTGCACTTTCTTTGAAATTATGTCACATTATGGTTTGTTCTTTGCAGATGGAAGATTCAGAGGGGACAGTGAGACAGATAGGTGCATTCTCTGAAGGCATCAACAATCTGACAGTAAGTTTGTAAAGTGAATGGGAAATGTTATATGAAAATATCTTTTAAAATAACCCCAAAGGGGCCAGGTGTGTTGGCTCATCTCAGCTCTTTGAGAGGCTGAGGCAGGAGGAACGTTTGAAGCCAGGAGCTTGAGACAACCTGAGCAACAAATTAAGACCCCAAATCTACCAAAAAAAAAATTATCTGGGTTCAATAGTACATGCCTATTGTCCTAGCTACTCGGGAGACTGAATTGGAAGAATTGCTTGGGCCCAGGAGTTCAAGGGTGCAGTGACCTATGAGTACTTCCAGTGTACCCCAGCCAGCACAACAGAATGAGACCCCATTTCTTAAAAAAAAAAAAAAAAAAAAAAAAAAAACCCCAAAGGACTGCATGTATATTGGAGAATGTGTAGTTCTGAGCTCTAGGATCTCAGTGTGTGACGCCCCATCTCCTTGTTTTCCAGCACATGCTGAAGGAAGATGACATGTTTAAAGATTTTGCTGCCCGTTCCCCCAGTGCCAGCATGACAGATGAAGACTCAAATGTTTGACCACAGCACCTGGATGAGAATTAGGAGCTCTTAGCCTTTTTTTCCACTTGCTTTTCCAAATACTCACAGTATATATATTGTTTATTGCTCCAGCTTCTGCTCATTTAGAAGTGGAAGTAGAAAGCAGAGAAAACATGCTGATCCTGAAGTTACCACAAAAAATGAGACACTGGTGAATGAGAGTATAATTGTTTTTCCTCTATTTAATGTAAAAATCTGTGATATATTATATTTAAAGTGTTGCATTTAAGATGAGTATGTTACCATAGTGTTTGTATTCACATCCAGTCTGGGGAACTTGGAGAGCAGTAGCCAGTGTGTGAATGGTTTTGTCACATCAGTGGTCACTGCAGCCATCCAAGTAGGACATTAGATGCTTTCAAAATCAGTATATGGAATTTCTTTAAGCACTCAGTGTGCCCACTAAAAGCCAACCATCCTCCACTTGCCTGTTATTGTCTTATTTTTATATATTTTTCTAATATATGTATATATACAGCACATAGAAAATAGAACTTTTATTTTGTGACATAAGGAAGATGGTGAAAAGATCACCTTTTTAAAAAAAATTAGGGTGATCAAAATTTTCATATACCAGCTGGTACCTGAAGAAGTCAGAATGATCTTTCTCCACACTGTATTTTAGCAATGTTGATCATTGAGGCTAAGTTAATATATATGAAATACCCCTTTTTTGATGACACACTACACCACTGTTAAACAGTTTAAGAATTTCAACCTTCATCTATCCTTTTACCTCATAAGGAAGAACCCGAGGGACATTAATATACTGCTAACTTGAATGCATCCAAAAGCCCCTCCTTCCCCAAATTTGAAGAAATAATTTCTGAAGAAAACAAACATGAAATAAAAGCCTTCACAGTATTAAGTTTCTTATATTTGTATTTGTTAAATACATCATTACATCAACATACTAACAGTCTGCCTAACATGTTAATTATACATTTCTCAGGCTATCAATGAATTGAGCTCTTTTTTTTTTAATGAGAAAAGTTAATTCCTCATAATGAAGCTTTTACAAAAGCTGAATATTTGAACATTTTGTTTAAGTCAGTTCAGAAAAGCTGGGTTTGCAAAATTAGTTTTATGATGGCTAATTTGTGATGATAAAATTTAGTTCATGTTTTTCTGTAGCACTGGGCCCAAATATTCTTTATAAAGAAAATAGAAAACTGCAGCAAAAACTGTTTCTGTGTTTATTATTGTTTTTAGTTAGAAAAAGATTCTATTTTTTTATTCAATGCTGCATAATTACTCATGGTAGCCAATTGTGGAAAAGACAGGTTTTCACAAATTAGGGTAGAAGGAGGCAATTCAGTATATACCAGTGGACTTTGTTATAAACAATATTTGAGTATCAGTGGTATTATCTTTTAAGTTGTCAGCTCAAGGAACTTGTACTACTAGATTACTGTTTATTCATAACTAAAATAATTTGACGCCAATAATATTTTTCTTTAAACGCTACCATTCATTATTTGGTAACTGTAATGGACTCTTACTGTAGCTAGGTTTTATTTGAATGTGACTATATGTCACCACTTGAAAAACTTAATTTGTTATTAGAACCTGGTTGAAAATACCAGGAGACTGTTACACTTGCCAAATATTCTTTATTCAGGACAATATAGCGTAACTGATGATATGTGATAAGGTTAAAATTTTGATGATGTATTTTATTTACAAAGTATCATACCCTGCTGGTATTACCATATAAAAAATAAAATCAATTGATAATTGCCTAATATACTTCCTTTTCCTTTGTTCGCAGTAACAAATAGGCTTTATTTCTGATACAGCAAAAATGACACAGACTCTTTACAATGTATAAGCTGCCATAAATTCATTTTAGCGGAGCTAAAAACTTGTATCAACAGATAGAAATTTTAGGTATATACAACCTATATATACAGCACCCAACAGATTGTATATTATTTATTGTTTGAGAAACTCTTGTCTCAAAGGAAATGTGGGCAACTGAGCTGGAGAGTGAGGAATCATCAGAAGGGATATAGGAGAAATGAATGGAAATGAACTCAACTACAAATTGGAAGAAGTTAGTTAGAGAAAGAGGTAACTGGTTCTTAAAAGAACTAACATACTTTTTAATTTAACTAAGATTTGGAAAGAGGAAACATATCTTGGAAGAGATTACCAAAGTAGAACGAGAATAATCTAGATAGAACAGATGTTTTGTGTAAAATGTAGTATCTCTAACTTAATAAGCCAGCAGGAAACTATGAATACAACACACCCGATTGACAAACAGGGAGAATTAACATGTTTGTTTAGCTGTGTGTATATATGCGTAACTGCACCAAGTAAGCTGTAGAGTTAGAAAACTGAACTGGGACTGTATTAACAGATGTGACTTCATTGCAGAACTTTTACTTTGAAAAAGAAGTAATTCTGCATGAGGTTCACATGTCTGATATTGAGGAACAGTATTGATCGGGTGTAGAAAAAATGGGGCAAAAAACATCGCAACAGTTGGCTCTGAAGGACAGCAAAGAGGTTCTCAGCGTTTGTGAGGTGGTCAGTGAAGCTATGGTCCACGCAGCTCAGAAACTCAAGGAGTACCTGGGATTTGAATATCCTCTGAGTATACTCTGCCCAGCTGCAAATACTCTAAATGAGATCTTCTTAATCCACTTCATCACTTTCTGCCAAGAAAAGGGAGTTGATGAGTGGCTTACCACCACCAAGATGACCAAGCACCAGGCTCTGCTGTTTGGAGCAGACTGGATTTGGACCTTTTGGGGATCTGATAAGCAAATAAAGCTTCAGCTGGCAGTACAGACTCTACAGCTGTCTTCTCTTCCTCTCATGGAACCTAAGCCTTGTGACCTCTCCAATCCCGATTCAAGGCAAGAGGAGTCTTCCTGGAAGAAAAGTAGATTTGACAAGCTGGAAGAATTCTGTAACTTGATAGGAGAGGATTGTCTGGGCCTGTTTATCATCTTCGGTGTGCCAGGAAAGCCTAAAGACATCAGGGGAGTTGTCCTGGACAGTGTCAAAAGTCAGATGATGAGGAACCATCTGCCAGGAGGGAAGGCTGTGGCTCAGTTTGTCCTGGAAACTGAAGATTGCGTCTCCATCAGAGAGCTGCTTGGAAACTGTCTGAGTAAGAAAGAAGGGCTGAGAGAGATGGGCAAGGTTTATATTAGTATCCTCTGAACGGGATATGTGTGGTGTGACTGGCCTGTAAGAGGAAAATAAAAATAGAAATAAAAAAGATTTTATTCTAACAAGCAAGCTTACCTACTTAGATCACTCCAGCATGGGATTTTTTTTTTTCCCTTTTTTCCTAGTGATTGAAAATGACTACTGGGGTCAAAGCATATTCATGTCACATTTATGAAGAGAAAAAAGCCCTAGCTGTTCAGGAAAACTTAAAATTTAGTTTAATATTTTATGAATTCAATAATAAAAATGGGAGGAGAGAATAATAAAGTCACGCTTACAGTTTGATTTGCAAAAATAGTGTCTGTGTGTGAAATGAGTCTAGCACTTGAAACTACAAAATGTGCTTTTTCTGCTGGTAGTGGGAGATGGGTAGGGACAGGCTACAAAGCAGGGTTAACGACATTTACAATGCCAGTTTCAGCTCAGGACTCACAGCCTTCTTTTCCTCCCTGACCTACCCTCCTCATCCCCACCTACTTTCTCTGCACAGAGAGGACTTAGGTGGAATTTATTTGGGGATTCACTTGAGTGTTAGCCTTCTTTATCTAAGATTTTAAAAGTCAGCCAGGCTTAGTGGCTCAGCCTGTAGTCTCGCGCTTTGGGAGGCTGAGGTGAGTGGATTGCCTGAACCTGTGGGTTCGAGACCCACCTGGGCAACTTGGCAAGACCTCATCTCCACAATAAATCAAAAAATTAGCCGGGCGTGGTAGCGCGCACCTGTAGTTCCAGCTACTTGGAAGGCTGAAGCAGAAGGATCACCGGAGCCCAGCAGGTCGAGGCTGTGGTGGCCGGGAGCGGCCACTGCACTCCAGTCTGGGCGACAGAGTGAGACTCCAACTCAAAAAAAAAAAAAAGATTTTAAAAGTCACTCATATAACAATTCCTTGTAATAATAGTTAATATTTGTTGGCATTTGCAGTAAGGAAAGTATTCGTATAAAATAACTGTTTACCCAAAACCTAGTGTTGGGTTATAACAGTACAAAACAATCACCATTATTTCTGCCAAGTAGATGCTGTATGCCTGTTAGTGTGATTTACATAAGTCTACTCCTTGACACTAAGATGTTTCTATTTGATAAATCAAAAAGGTTAAATAACTCCCAAGGACATAAATCTATGAAGTGGCTCATAACAACAACAGGAGATCTGTCCTGTAATAAAGCCCATAGTCTTCTAAAGTTACCATGTAGAGAAAATTCTTTGACTCTAAGCTACTGGAACTGCTGTGACCAGAAAGATGTTCATTTGCAAAGATGCTAGCTAGTGGCTGTTGTTGGTTTCCTCTCCACAACTGCTCCAAACTCTTAGAGCATTTTCTGTTTCTGACAGTCTTCCCCATGGCCTTGGTCCTTTATTGTGGAATGTAGGGCACATTTCTGTGAGGCTGAGTGAAGTCCTCTGAGGGCAATGTGATACCCTCATTATATTTCAAAGTTAGAAATGCATATATTGTTGTGATCTGCATGACTGAAATGTGTTAGAATGAACTCTGATAGTTTCTGTCCTATGTCAGTTTTTTTAAATGCTGATTATGAACCACCAAATTGACATCAGGTCACACATCCAGAGTTGTAAAAACGTCATGGTGGAAGGAGTGAGAGTTTTCAGGTTTGGTTGCAGTTAAATTTGGTTGAAATCCTGGCTCCCCCACTCACACTTATCCAACCAAACTTCTGTGCTGGTTATCCTCAGTTTACCCCCCATGTCTACTCCTCACCTTCTGCCTTATTCTGGGCTCTGACTGCATCACCTAGGCTCACCTGCCCTCTGGCTTCTATCAGATGTAAAGACCAGAGAGAATGCAGCTCAGGAGTATATTACCCCACTCTCCCTGCCTTCCTGCACATGGTTCGGGACAGCTCCTAACCAGCTGGCCCTCCTCCAAGGTTCTGCTCCCTCCTATTTCCCTTTTAGCCCAGTCAGTTTCCTGGGTGCTTCACCATCCTTTGACAGTCCCCTGAACCCTACCCTCACCTCTATAGATGTCTTTTTTCTTCAGGTAAGCCTAAGTGTGTCTTTTGATTTCTTCGGGAGCCTTAATGCCTCCTGATTTTACTGTCTAAAAACGAGACATGACAATACCTACCTCATGGGATTGCTCTTATGTAAAGAGTAATCAAAGTGCTTAGAACAACAATAATCCCAATCCATGCTTTCTTTATCCAGCCCAGTAAACAGGATTCACTGAGAACATAGAGGCGCATTGCTAACTTCAGTGTAGATTTAGCCTGAAGAGCCAATTCCTGTTTTCTTTCCACAGAATCTGGTATTCTTCAAAGTAAAGTAAAATAAGCCTTGCAACATTAGGGAATGCCAGCCCCCAAATCCCTCCTTTTCAGCTTTATTGCCCAAGAAGTCCTGGGAGAAAGGAAGGAAGGAAGAAAGCTTTCTTAATCCCCATGATGTTTCCTGCTTCAGGAAAGAAGAAAGGGTGTATGGCCTCTTCAACCTCTGAAAAAATGGCTTTATTTTCCCTCCTTTCAATGTTTATTCACTCGCATAGCCTTTAGGAAGAAGAGCACATCTGCAACCTTGGCATTGTCCTACACTGGAAATTAGCGTGAAAGACAGTGCCCAATATTGCATTTAAAAAGATGAGATATTAATAGACACCCTTGTCAATTAAAAATAATCCTTTAAAGAAAATGATGGAGTATTGGTAGAGAAGTCTATTTCCTCTTTCTGTTGGTGAGGTCTCCAATAGCTTAGAGTCAAGCTTGGGTTAATATGTTGCCATAAAAAAAAGGCTTAAAATGTAGATAGAAGATAGATCCATTCACACATAATTTCTGAGTGCCCATTAAATGTAGGTCTTGCTTTATACCCTGCCCATCCAGCAGTGAAAAGAACAAAGTTTCTATCTTAATGTTACAAGACAGATAATAAACATATGTACAGATTTTTTTTTTTTTTTTTTGAGTTGGAGTCTCACTCTGTCGCCCAGACTGGAGTGCAGTGGCCACTCCCAGCCACTGCAGCCTCGACCTGCTGGGCTCCAGCGATCCTCCCGCCTCAGCCTTCCCAGTAGCCGGAATTACAGGCATGTGCTACCACGCCCGGCTGACTTTTTGATTTATCGTAGAGATGAGGTCTCGCTGCCCAGGCGGGTCTCGAACCCGCGGGCTCAGGCAATCCACTCACCTTAGCCTCCCAAAGGCGCGGGATTACAGGCTGAGCCACCGAGCCCAGCTATATGTATAGATTTTTAAATGCATACTTAAAAATATCAGGGGCACTGTAAAGAAAATGTTTGATTCAGGGGATAGAGAGTGCAGGAGGTGTTATTTTATATTGGGTGGTGACAAAAGGTCTCAATGAGGGGGAGGCAGTGGGCTCCCTCCCTGAGAGAAGCTAGCAAACCTGAGTGCAGGTATCTGGTAAAGAGTGTTCTAGGCACATGGTACTGCAAATGCAAAGGGCCTAAAGAGGGAGTGGATGTGAGTGTAGACAGCAAATAAGGCTGTGTGGGTGGAGCACAGTGAGCTGGGGGCTAGAGGTAGGAGATGAGTCTGGAGAAGTAGCCAGCCAACTGATCAAGCTACTAAAATGAGCCAGCCAAACCAAAGTAAGGATTCTGGACTTTATTCTGAGTGATATGGGGACAGGGATGCCTCAACTGACCTACACTTTAAAAACCTCACTTGACTGGGCATAGTGGCTCACGCCTGTAATCCCAGCACTTTGGGAGGCTGAGGTAGTCGAATTGCTTAAGCCCAGGAGTTTGAGACAGGGCAAATTAGTGAGACCTCATCTCTTCAAAAAAGTTAAAAAAAAAAATCAGGTAGGCATGGAGGTATGTACGTCTAGTCTCTACTACAGAAGACCGAGGTGGAAGGATCACCTGAATCTAGGAGACCAAGGCTGCGGTGAACCATAGTCATGCCACTGCACTCCAGCCTGCATGACAGAGTGAGTCCCTGACTCAAAAAAGAAATTAAAAATAAAAACCTTAGTTGATTGCAGGTAGCTAAGCTATTATAGTAATCCAGAGGAGAGAAAAAAGGTGGCCTGTACAGAGGGTTAGAGGAGGAGGTATGAAGAGGACAGATTTAGCATGGAGTTGAAGGAAAAGTGTACAGCATTTGCCAATGATTAAATGAGGAGTAGGAAACATGCCGCAACTAGATGCTATTATTTCCAAACATCTTAATAAGAATATATGCAAGGGCAAAAATAAGTTTGTCTTTGATATTCCCTTATCATAAGAACCAAAGGATCAGCTGGGCTCGGTGGCTCAGCCTGTAATCCCGCACCTTTGGGAGGCTAAGGTGAGTGGATTGCCTGAGCCCGCGGGTTCGAGACCTGCCTGGGCAGCGAGACCTCATCTCTACAATAAATCAAAAAAAATCAGCCGGGCGTGGTAGCGCATGCCTGTAATTCCGGCTACTTGGAAGGCTGAGGCGGAAGGATTGCCGGAGCCCAGCAGGTCGAGGCTGCGGTGGCCGGGAGCAGCCACTGCACTCCAGTCTGGGCGACAGAGTGAGACTCCAACTCAAAAAAAAAAAAAAAAAAAAAGAACCAAAGGATCAAGAAAAATATTTCAGCCCTCTGCCTTCAATAAGCTGGGCACGAATAGGCACAGGCAGCAGCTATCAAGGTGGTGGTGGTATAACGAATACTCATCTTGGTGAGCTGTGATCGTGCTGCTCACTGCACTCCATCCAGCCTAGGTGACAGAGTGAGACCCTGATTCAAAAACAAAAGTTCATCTTGGAAACAATTGTGGTTTTGAGTCTCAATTCTCATAAGAGCAGAGTCAAGAAGTTTAACTCTGTTTTTTACCTGTAAAATAGGATTGACTTTGACTACAGTCATGCATTGCTCCAAGAAACACATTAGGCGATTTCATCATTGTGCAAACATCAGAGTGTATTTACACAAACCTAGATGGTACAGCCTACTACACACCTAGGCTATGCAAAATAGCCTGTTGCTCCTAGGCTACAAACCTGCACAGCATGTTGCTGTACAGAATATTGTAGGCAACTATAACACAAGGGTATTTGCATATCTAAACATATCTAAATGTAGAAATGGTACAATAAAAATATATAAAAGGACAGTGGCGGGAGTCTATGAGGGGGGTAGGGAGGGGAAGGGAAGTGGGATTAATGGTAGTCAATATCCTCTTAATTTGTCTTTTGTTTTCAACCTTGGATACTTGTATGATTGCTGCGACCTCACCGGATGGTGAATAGGGGCTGACAGTAGCTTTCTGTGTTGGGGACACGTTGGCCCAGGGATACCGGGGAGGGAAATGGACCATCTAGAA